ATGATGTAATGGCTTTAAAACAGAAAACAAGCCAGAATCTTATACCACATCCAACTATTTGTATTTTTTGAACATTCTTATCTATTTCTTGTCTTTTCACTATACATGCATAATGTATATTTCATTTTATGGCCTGATTTTTTTTCCAGTTAACATTACGTAACAGACAGTTTCCTTTTAAAGTCTGCATTTTAATAACTAGATAATATAATTAATAAAACCATTCCCCTACTTTGGGACTTTTGAGTTGTCTTTAATTTTTTTATTTGCCTGCATTTTTGCTATTATTGTACCACAGGCATCTTTGTGCATTTGATTTTTGCTGTTGTTGAATTATCGCCTTTGTAGGAATTCCAAAATTCCTATGAATAAGATGACTGAGGAAATATGCCCGGGCATCTTTATGACACTTGTACGCTGTTTTCAAAAAAACAAAGTGTTAATTTAAAATGCCACTAGCCAATTTAACCACAAGTCTTCTAAGTATTCACTGTTTGCTTAAAAGTTTTTTTCTACTTTAACAGGTAAGTGTTTCAAACTTGTTTTCATTTATACTTCTCTGTTTAACAGCAAAATTTAATGCTTTCCATGTGTTTTTGGTTTGTTCTAGATCATTTTTTTAAAAAATTAAAAAATAACCTGCCATAAATTTGCACAATTTTTGAAAACTCCTAAGAAAATGGCTCCAAAAATATTTCCTTAAGGAACTTAAATTTTCACATCAGGTATAAGTGCTTTGCAGCTAAAGCGAAGAGAAGTGCTGAGCTAATTTGTCTTTCATTCAGCTCATCAAGTGACTTTCATGTGTAATTCAAGTCCTGTCAGGATTGTTTTAAGGTATATTAAAAATAAGACATGATCACTATCCCTCCCAAAAGTTTATATTCCCATAGAACTATTATCGTATGACTGACCAGGATTCAAAAATGGCTCAGTGTGGTGAGAAAAGGACAGAATGAGCTATGGGGATTCAGAGAATGGAGCAATTATTTCTAGCTTGAGTGAAGGAATGTGAAGAGTCAGAGAGGCTTATTGGAAGAAATTGTATCTGAGCTGAATGAATAGGATCTGAGGTAGGGCCTATTTTAGGGCAGTGGGGGAAGTGTGTTGGGGAGAACGTTTTGCCCATTTATATTAAGGAGCTCTTGAGATTTTAGCTAAGTCTTCTAAGGTATAACCACTTGTTCTCCAGATGGGTAAATGGAGTCAGGCAGCCATGACCAACCCATGCTCGCATGGAAGAAACAGGTTTCCACATAAGTGGGACTTTAAAAACAAAATTGAAGGGCCGGCCCGGTGGCTCGCTCGGGAGAGTGCGGTGCTGATAACACCAAGGCCCCGGGTTCGGATCCCATATAGGGATGGCCGGTTCGCTCACTGGGTGAGCGTGGTGCTGACAACACCAAGTCAAGGGTTGAGATCCCCTTACCGGTCATCTTTAAAAAAAAATAAATAAATAAAAATAAATAAATAAATAAATAAATAAAAGGAGGCCAATAAAGAAGTTAATTTTTCTTTTTCAGGATTTGGTGACAGCTTGTTTTGTTGTGAGGATTATCATATTTGAAAATAATTTTATACCATATTATGCTGTACAGGCATTAATTACTATGTCATTCTCCCTAAAGCAGTACTCCTGCTGTGGGTTTAGAAGAAATGAATTCTAGTCCTGGCTCCGTTACATACTGTCATTTAATCATTTAATCTTTATAAGTAATTTATTATTTATTAGCTTCATTAATCTCGATGCCTCATGCCTATCCTATGTAGTGATAAAAACTAAATGAGATAGCATATTTTAAAACTATAAATGTATTGATCAACACAATTATTTAAAAATTGAATCAGTATTACAATTTTTTTTCCTTTTTTGTCTTTTTTACTAACCGGTAATGGGATCGCAACCCTCGGTGTTGCGCCCGTACCGGGGACCGGCAACGGGATCGCAACCCTTGGTGTTGCACCCGCACCGCACTCAGCCAGTGAGCAGGAACCGGTCTACACATGGGATCCGAACCCTCGGCGGGAGCGCCGCCGCGCTCCCAAGCGGTGCACTCTCCAGTGCGCCACCGGGCCGGCCCAAGTATTACAATTTAAGAACCTTAGCATCTTCCTTTCCCTCAACTCCAAACTCCAATTTATTTGCCCTTCTCAAGCTAAAGGCTGCTGGGGCCTGTGGACGGTTAGATGAGAATGAGACCTTGGGTTCTTTGGAAGTCATGGCTCAGAGGAATGCTATAAGGGTTGCTCTAATATGCACTAGTCCAGCTCCTGGAAATCTGTGTGTGATGGGCTAGGGAAGGAATGGGGAGTGGGCAGGAAAGTAGGTTGGAAGATGCTTGACTGTAGACACCTCTTGAACTCTTAATGGGGAAGATTGGTTTAGCACTGTATGAGAGTTGGGGGACTTCCTGACCCCTAAGAGCCAAAAAGGGCTCCTGCCCCTGACCTGAGGGACTATAAAGGTGGTAGGAAGACACCCTCTAGGTGATGTAGCAGATAACCTGCTCGTTTCTATACCATTGGCCCATGGGGGTAAGCACCACTTGGCCTTGTTCCATTGTTTCGCTGCCATCATTTAGAGTACTCTAAAAATTAGACTTGAGCTCTAAGTGGGGCAACTAAGAATAACCCCCAGTCAGAGAAAAGACATTCAGTCAGAACAGATAGAACATACACCCAGCAAAACAGTACTGAAAGGGCTCACCCTTACCCTTACCAATCCATATGCTATACTGATCAGACTTTCAGCTGCTAACACCTGCAATTTTTTGCTTGAGGGCTTTTTCTAGCCACTAGAGCCTATTTTGCTGCCCATGTGGTAGGCTAGGGTGCAGACCCCAGGAGCAGCCTCAGCCAATGATTGATGACAGATGTTGGTATATAAATCCCCATCTCCTTCACCCCTTGAGTGGAATAACTCAGATACGTGCTTCACACTGGCCTCCAGTGTTCTCCAGTGGGATTAATCTCCAGTTGGATGTTGGTATATAAATCCCCATCTCCTTCACCCCTTGAGTGGGATAACTCAGATACGTGCTTCACACTGGCCTCCAGTGTTCTCCAGTGGGATTAATCTCCAGTTACCCACAGTGCTAACTTCCTTGATACAACTACTTTATTGGCTTTCTTCCCTTCCTTGACTCACTTCTCTGCCCTGCTACCAGTGTTTCCTAGGATCACTTCCCTCAAAGACTACTTGCACTCAAATCCTGCCTCTTAGGGAATCTAAACTAGACCTGACTGTGTCAGAGGGGATTGACTAAAGCAATAAAGCACTCCAGCCTGTGCTTCCCTACTTGAAACCCAGAATACTTCCAGCTGGGCCTGGAAGCATTTTCTCTTCAGGGAGTTTGACCAGCCAGAAAGAACAACCTACAGATACTGATGCCATGTGTTTCCAACCAACAACAACCCAACAAGATCATCCTACAGTGAAGCTCCCAGGAAACAAGGCCCACCCACATGTTGAGAGCTTACAATCAGCTTTTATGGCATTTGACTCCAGGGTTTTTCAGGCCTTACTCTTAAGAGCGAATAAATAGTCAAGGACCACATAAAATTTCCATTAAAATAGATGGGGACCAATTTTACAGCAAAAAGCAGCTGAGAGGAATAAGAGACTACTCGGGGAGAAGAAAACTTCAAAAATGTGTTATTAATATTCTCATAGGGATAAGAGAAAATATATCTATGAAGCAAGTATATGACGCCACAAGAGAGGGACATTTGAAGAACAAAAGAGAGCACTAGAAAAGTGAAAACTCTAGATGGCTGGAAGATAAATTTGAAGAATTCACCAAGAAAGAGCACAAAGACAAAGATGGAAAATAGGAAAGTAAAACAGATGGTGATAAGCCTCTCATGTCGTACTAATGGAGTTTGGACTTGATCATACATCAGAAGCTGATAGGGGGCTATCAGAAGCTGAAAAGATAGTAACCTGTTCACATATGAATGAAACATAAGAAGTTGTACAGGCCAAGAATGGAGACAGAAGCTCTGGTTAGACCACTCTCGCGGTGGTGTCGAGAAATTACGTAAACCTCAAGTAAAAAGAGTGACATCTGGACAGAAATTAAGAGAAAAGATGAGAGATTAGAAGGTAGAACTGACCAAACTCGTGATGGAGCAGGTGTGTGTGTGTGTGTGTGCGCGCGCGCGCGTATGTATGCCTGTGGGTCTGATGTAAGAGGAACAAGGAGAACAAATAGACCCGGTTTCTCGAAGGATCCCGAATGGATTGGACTCCAGGAAGCAAGATGAGGAGTGAATGAGGACAACCAGGTTGGAGTGGTGTGAATGCGTGTAGGGGGTGTAATGGGTTCAGGTTAAATCAGTATTTTCTGAGATCTCACTAGGTGCCACATAGTAAGTCCTTGTCTTCATAGACTTAGGTGTCGAGGAGGGATGGAGGTGAGCCACCTCAAAAGTGGCATACCCTCATGGGGTTTGTAATGAAAGGAGGCACAACCGATGGCCTGGAGGTGGTGGGAACGGCAGTGACTGTGTGACAGGAATGGTGAGTATACGCTTGTGCTTAACGGGTCCTCAGGGTCTGCCCTGCAGATGTAGGAGCGCCAGTTCAGTCGCCCAGAGACCATGCCAAAGTCCCGGATGTTGGTCTCAGGGTTTGCAGGGAAGCGCTGATTGAGCACGTTAAACTTCCTAGTAGTACTAAGACGTGGTGCGCATGCGCACACCCACCCCAGCGCTCAAATGCGGCGGGAAGTTGGTTTTTTGAGCAGCAACTGAGCAGCTTGGGAAGACAGACCAATAAACAAATGTCTCATTGGCTTGGCCTGCTTACGTTCCCAATTCGCCCGCTTCCCATTGGGCCTTTCAAGCAGAGCAGGGGCGTGGCTCCTGGGGCTCCGCCCCGCGCCTTGGCCCAGTCTCGGGGTCCAGGGCTGAGGAAGTGGGACGGAAGTGAGCGGGTCCCGCCCCTTCCCCTTGTCGGCTGGGTTGGAGTCGCCGCGTCCGTCGCTGCCTTGCCTGCCCGCTCTCCGGCAAGCCGGAGTCTCCGTGCAGTACCCTCGGTCCCCGGCCGCGCGGAGCCGGGATGCACTGCCTCTGCTGTGGGTCCTCATCATGGAGACCAAACGGGTGGAGATTCCCGGCAGCGTCCTGGACGATCTCTGCAGGTACGGCGCTGCCCCGCGCTGCCCGACCCCCTTCCGCCGCCTCCCGGTTTCCTCTGACTCGCCGACCCCCTGAGGCCTCCGGTCTCCTTCCCCCGCCCACAGCCAGGTCCTGGCTTTCATCTCCCTCCGCCGCTCGCTTTCCACCGACGACCGTTCCCTCCTAAGACACGTCCCTCTTTCCGCCGCAGTCCCCGGTGTCTCACGGCCCTCCATCCTTCCCCACGGGGCACCCGCAATTTCCGCATTTCCTTAGTTCCCCAACTATTTCGCTTTCTCGCTGGCGAAGCCGCTTCGACCGAGCCTGGGTGACCCGCGGTTTTCCGCCGCCCCCTCCCCCTCCTATTGTTTTTTCTGCCGCTCTGACGTTCACACGCCGTTTCCCCTTCCTCCCTCTGCGATGCTGTAGGAAGACCCGGTGTGTTAGTTTTCAGTCTTAGGATCCCAGGTGCCCGGACCCACGCAAGTTTCACACTTGCCCTTTCTCCTGCGTATTCTTATACATCCGTGGAATTCCTAAGCGAAATACTCTATTTTCTGTCCTAAGATTTATCTTTGGGAATGGGAAAAAGCCAAGAGCTGCTTTTCTTTCCATTTTTTAATTATCCTACTTGAAAGGAAATTCTCATCCGCAGGGTTTTAATTCGTGGTGTGCTTTCACAAGAGAAATTTTCTGCATTCTTCCCTCTTGTCAGCTGTGATTTCAGGTAGCCAAACACCGGTAAAGTGCTCTAAATATTTCTTCTCCAGAAATAAAATTCTCGGTGGAGTGATGCCCTCAGTTGTCGCCGAGTGTATGTGGGTTGTGAAATAATTTAGATTACAAGTGAGTAAAAGTTCCGATTAAAATAACGCCTTTTCATTTAGTTACTGTATTTGTTTAAAAGTCAGACTTTAGTAGTTGTGTCGTATTCACACCATTTTTTTTTTTAATGGAAAGTAAAGAACTAATATCTGTATACTTTCTTTCTACTCTGTGCCAGACATTGGGTGCTCCCTTCACATATTTCATTTTATTTAATCCTTGAAACAATCTTATTTGGTAGGTGTAGTTATTTCCCTTTTCATCTGAGCAAACAAATTCAGTGATTTTTAATATTACGCAAGTTCACTTTCATCCTAATTCAGAAAATCAAGATTTGAAACCTAGGCCTTTTCTTTTTCCTTTTTCAAAATTAGTACCTGTGCTTTTTCTCTTACACCAGGTGGATGTAATAGAATGTCAGGTCTAACATTTTAAACCTCACAAAAGAAAAGTATGTGTAAAGAAGTAAAATAGACTAATTTTGCAACTAATAAGGATTAATGCCATTTTACTTCTTTGGTGATGGTAGAATTAAAATTTTTGTAATATGAGGGATGGAAATGAACCACTTAAGTGTTAAAAGGCACTTATTTTCTATGATCCCAAGTTTGGTAAGAAAGAAAAGAGAATTTGATATGTATATGTCTGTGGATAAATGACTTAAGTGGGATTATGGGATTGTGACCCTTCTTTTCTTCATTTTTCTAAGATTTTTAGAAGGACGTGCATTTCATAGTTAGAAAAAAATTAGAGGTGGATGTTTGGAAAGCTGAGCAATAATTATGTATGGGTTAATAGGGTAGGAGTTGATTCAGTAAAAGATCAGGTAATCTTACACATTTTACAAGCATCTTAAAGTAGTCTTCTGCTATTGTTGGGGTTAATTTGTATGTTACAGGAGTACATTATTTAAAGAACTGGTATCAGTCATAGTGATTTTATGTGTGCAACTCGTTTATTCACAAAATAATGTGTTTTGTAAACAATATGTTGAGCATCTGTTGTGTTAAAGATACTTGGTTTTCCAGTGAATGATTTAAGCTATTTTCTTATACAAATCTTTTGGAACAGAGTAAATTTTTTTTTCCTTTAAGCCCCCCCCCCCCCCTTTCAGTTACTGTGTTTGTGTAAGTAAGGATGAGAAACATTTAGAAGTTAGGGCTAGCTCCTTGATAAGCTAATAATTAACCAAATAACCATTTCTTAAAACTCCAAGTTTTAAAAGTAATGCCATCTTCAAGTTAATATTTATAATATCCGTGGTGAATTTAGAGATTTTTTTTTTTTTTTTTTTTTTTTTTTTTTTTTTTTCCGGG